GTGTCGCGCCCACACCACGCTCAACCAGTGAGCGGACCAGTCTCTATATGGGATCCAAACCCTTGGCACGAGCGCCACCGCGCTCCCAAGCGCCGCACTTTACCGAGTGCGCCACCGGGCCGGCCCGATTTGGACATTTTAATAGAGATCTCTGAGGAATACACAAGATTAAAAAAGAAAAAATCTTAATTACTGAGTCTTACACTCTGGGTAGAAAAGAGAAACACATGCTTTCATATGTAAAGAGAAATTATACTATGACTGCGCTTCACAATGTATGATCATAGTACATGTAAGTTCAAGGGCTCTGTATGTTGGCACAGATGTATTCTTTTCATTGTACGCTTACTATCTTTTGTTGTCATGAGATTAAATCAACAGTACATAGGCACCCGGCTTAAAACAGGGGCCAAACATGGTCATGAAACGTCCCTCTTCCTTTCATTACCTAGTAGCATATTTTCCTATCAGTGAAAAACATTCATTAGACATTCAATGGATCCCATCCATAGACTGGGATTATCCATAATTATAAAGTGGAAATGGCATCTTGATCCATGCTTTCTAAGAACTACCCAGTACTCCACGATATAGGAAGAGTACAGAAATAACTTACCATGAATAGATGGGTTATATATAACTTATAGACAATGGAAACATGATTTTGCAGACTGTAAGAACATTGGTTCTATTTCTAGCCCTAAAACTATAAAGATATCCCACTACACAAATTAAGGCACAGAAAACAGTTAATTTACAGATGGTTAGAAAAAACTGTCCAAGTAAAGGACACAGATTGATTCAGGACTTAAAAAACAGTATTTTAAAAATCTTAATGGAAAAATTAAAAAAATCAAATTATGATGTTATTAAAAGTATGGCTTTCAGTTAAAAAAAGTTTTAAAATTCATTAATTTCTAAGTTACATATTTTTAATTTCTTTGAGCTATTCTTAAGTAAATTCATTTGCAAAAGTGACTCAACTACATACAAATTTCACAAATATTAAATATATCATAAAGACATATTCCCTGATGCATGTATATGTACATACACATTCATAAATACTTTGTGTTTGTGTACACGAAGACTACATGAATACGGGATCATCTATAAATGTGCAGACTGGACGATTATCAACCTCTTTGTCCAACAAAGTCAACTAAGCAACCAATAAAGAAAAAGTCTGATTGATATATTAAAGCAGAATGATTTAAAATATATTTTAAGGGTGCTAAAAAAAAAATCTCAAAAGTAAAATCAGTTATATCAGTTGTTTATAACTACTTTCTTAGTGTTTATTCCCTTGATCCAACCAATAGTTTTTCTTTTAATACTTTTTCAAAATCACAAAAAAGGTGGGTTTTGTTGACCTACACAAGGGGTTGGCTGGCAGACAATGGCTCGTGGGCCAAACCTGTCCCGCTGCCTGCTCCTGGAAAGAACACAGCCGCGTTCATTTGCTTATGTACTGCTCTCACTCCATTGTGGCAGAGTCGAGTAGCTGCGACAGAGACTGTATAGTCCACAGATCCTAAAATATTTACTTCTTTGCCATTTACTGAAAAAGCTCATCAGCCCCTACCCACACTGACAAGAGCTTCGTGACACGCAGAGTGAGCAGCGGGGGTGGGCAGGTGCAGAGACAGGTTGAATTCCCCCGTCGCACACCCCTGCTGGAGCTCACCTATACCCTGTGGCCGCCTGTGACACTGGTTTTCATTCATTTGTTCCTAAACTAGATCTTCTCCCATCCGTACAGCTGCATCATTCATTAATTCTCCCGGGATCCTACGGTGTCCTCCCCGCAAAAAGTTCTCTTGTTTTCCTCCCTCTACAAAGCTGCTCCCACACTGTTCTTTCATTCGATCGTGCTCCCATTGCGTCAAAATTCCTAATTCTGGGAGCTCATGAAATTGCACCCATGTTTTTTCCTCCTCGTCAAGCACACCATTTTCCCCGGCTGAATTTTCTTTTCACTCTCCTCATTAGTACTAGCGTTAGGAGGTCACGCCACCTTTTCCAGACTGTGAGATACTCCCGCCTGTCTCCTAACCCCTGTGTCTTTTAAAATATAATAGTAGCGCAGGCCAGCTTAGTGTGCAGACTTTTTGCTTATGGTAACTAATAATAAATACTATGTTAGGAACTCAGGATTGAACCTACAGCTCTCTGTCACCAGCCTTACCCCAAACTGCTATTAACTCAGTGTTAAAGCATGACTTACACAGTAAAGGGGAATCTGCAGTTTATAAAGCTCTCAAGTGGTTTTGATACATAGCCAGATTTAGAAACTACTGCTTTAAACAATATTTTAAATTTATTAATGAACATGTTTTAAGGGAAAATACAAAAGTAAAAATCTATCATGATATTTAGGCTACTTATGAGCCAACTCCTTCATCCAGGAAATATTTATTGGGCACCTACCATGTCCAGACCCTGTTCTAGGCACTAGGGATACAGCAGTGAGCCAGAAAGACAAAGCCCTTGCCGTCCAGCTAGACTGGAGAAGACAGACAGCAAACTGATCCACTAAATATATCCGCTATCAACTAGTGCAGGGGTTAGAGACCAGCATTGCAAAGAGACAGAAAGTGATAGTGGTTACCATTTCCTACCCGGAGATGACAGCAGGCTTCTCTGATGATCTGACATCTAAGCAGAAACTTGAACCAAAGGAGGAAGCGAGCCATGCATAGAGACAATAACAAATAATAGAGAGGGGGAGGGAGAGCAGTTTACCTGAAAGGATAATTAACTGCTACATTATTAAAAAACTACTATTTGGGGCCGGCCCGGTGGCGCACTGCTACAGTGTGCCGCTTGGGAG